CCTGGGTTCCAAGTGCCAGTCGCTGGAATCTCTGAGGTGCCTTGAGTACCAATCCGCCGTTGTATTGCAGAGGCTTGGGATGTACACTGCTGTGACCGAAATGCCTTGTGCCAGGCAAAACTGCCAAAAGTCTCGTGCCAAATTCGCCAGGACCTTGGATTTTGTGCTGCCCAAGTGATTTATATAACGGACTGCCGATATATTGTCCATCTTCAAAAGGATGGCACATCGGGCTTGAGTTGTTGAGAAACTGCGGATTGCAAAAGAACCAGCTAGGAGTTCTAGGCAATTGATGTGAAGCGTTGATTCCACTTCGGACCATCTGCCACCTGTAGAGACATTGCCACAGCGTGCACCCCAACCGTGCAAGCTCGCATCGGATTCTATTATTATGTCTGGCGCGGTGCCGAAAATGGCTCGGCCATTCCAGGCTTCCATATGGGAGAGCCACCATCTGAGTTATGTTTTTGCCTCTGTGTCCAGAGCGATCATGTCCGTGTATGAGGTCCCGTCTCTCAAATGGGAAGCTTGCAGGCGCTATAGCGCTCAATAGTTTAGAGGGCCCGGGAAGATGGCCTGTATGGAGGCCGCCAAGAGACCAATCACTCTCGCCAATTGTTTTAGGGAGATCAGGGGGGTCTTCAGAGTGCGTCTGATCTTCTTTATGGTGGTCAATTTCGCCGCCGGTAAGTGTAGGGTCTGTAGAGTAGAGTCCACTAAGAGACCCAAAAACTCTATGTGTCGTGTAGGGGTTAGGATGGATTTTTTCCAATTGATAAGGAAACCCAAATTCTGCAAAAGATTCTGAGTCCACGACAGATGGGTCTCGATAATGTGGTTGGAGCGACCCATGATGAGGATGTCGTCTAAGTAGATTATAAGACGAACCCCTCGACTTCCAAGTAGAGCCACCACGGGCTTCATGAGTTTGGTGAATCTCCATTTCCTTCCTTGCCATATGAATTGTAGGAAGTCTTGGTGCTGTCGTGCGATTGGTATTGTGAGATAGGCGTCCTGTAGGTCCAACTTGACCATCCAGTCCGACGGTTGGAGGAGATCTCGGAGGCAGTGTATGCCTTCCATTTTGAAATGGTTGTAGGCAACAAAAGTGTTGAGTTGTTGGACGCCGCCGCCTTTCTTGGCAACTAAGAATAGGTTGCTCACGTAGCCTGGGGTAGTCATAGGGATCTCTAAGATGGCCCGTTTGTGTGCCAATTCCAAGACCTCCTTGGTTACAAGGGAGGCGTCTTGTTGGGAAAACAGCATTCCCCGTGGTGGGGAGATTTGTACTGGGAGGGACAGGAACTCTAAGGTGTACCCTCTTACTGTGTTCAATACCCAGGCATCTGATGAGATGTGTGACCTTGCATGGAAAAAAATGTCTGAGTCTGCCCCCCACTGCCCATAGGGAAGAAGGAAATATGAGAGGACTTACCATAAGGTCGTCTACCTGGGCAGGTGCCACGTGATCCACGCGCAACCCATGGCCGGGGTGTTGCGGTGCTCCGTGAAGGAGGCTTGTACAGTGTTTAAGGAGGGAGCAAGGAGCCGTCCGACCGCCACTGCAGCTTTAACCTAACTCCGAGGTCTGGTCGTTGGGGGTGGAGCTGCGTGCCGAGCGCGGGAAGGCAAGAAAATGGCCGCAGAACGTGTACACATTCATGCGCCACGAGCAGGGAGACGGCATCTGAGCTCTGTGAGCTCTGTGGGTGGCGGCCGTTCACGGCACAAGTGAATAAAAAAGGGCGTGAAGCGCCGGATGCGGCTCGAGACGACGTCCCCGAGCCCACTTGCAAATTAGGCTCTGGGTGACAGGCTGGACCAGAGAGCATTAAGGGCAGAGAACAAGCATATAGCAGAGAGGGTATAACGGAACAAAACCATCATAATATAAAATATCAATAAATGAATCAGCAATATAGTAATACATTAATCAATTAAGAAAAGTTAATAAATTAATTAAAGTTATCAAAGAGATAATAATAATCCCACAGTTAAGGAGCCTGAGGGATCAGATATACTTAACTGAGGGAGCAGCAAAGAAAGAGGAACAGGATTGGTTGACAGAGCCTATTATGCTGGAGAAGTGGAACCTGATTGGCTGTACCTGTTACTGGGAAGAATACACCTGAGACTGTTAATGTTATTATTGGTTATGTTTATAAAGGCTTTTCTTTTTCTTTGCTGCTGGGAAATAAAGAAAGAGTGCAGCATAATAGGAGCCTCCGTGTCTTAATAAAATCCATGTAATAGAGGTCGAAACAAATGATATGCTCTTTGTCACAAAAAAATTATCATAAATTAATCAACCTTATGCACCCGATTCCAAATGATTGTTCAGGATACAAACTATGGAAATAAAAATTTATGGAATATAAAATGTGGTTCTGTATAATCAACAACTCAAAGTATGTACATGGTACTGTAACCACTGAGGTCCCAGGGTTGGATCCAGAACCTAATCTCAGGCAGACATCTGATGTAGGGAGGCGGTAGGGGTTGTAGTGGATGATAGAAGCTATAGTGTGGGGGATATGTATGGTTGGTGTGGGACAGGGGCTGTACAGGGGGAAAAGGTCTGTAGTGGTGGGAAAAAGGCTGTAGTGGGTGAATAGAGGCTGTAAATTAAACAAAATAAAGAAAAATCATTGACCTCTTAATCCCATGATGGACATCAGGACACTTTTAAAAAGATTAAGACTGTTGTGATCCAATCTAGGTAGGGTGAGGGGCAAAACAAATAATAAAAATGAATTAAAAAATAACTTTATTACGTTATAACAATAAAAAGTGGGCAAACATCAAATAGCCCTAAAGCAATATAATGTGAAGCAAACAATGCTGAAGTGTAAATACAATGTAACTAACAAGGAGTAAATACAAAGTAATAATACACATCTAAAGTTGGAGCATGGACACTAGAAACAAAAGTGTAACATTAGAACAACTCACAATGTCATAATTCAAAAACAAGGTCACTCCAAAAGGGAGTAGGGGGTACAACAAAGATAAGATTTATTGCTGTATAAAGCCATGTAGAGGATAAGATAAGACAGAATATACAAATAATTACTAAGTGGTAAGATTATACCAATAGTAAAAAAAAAGTACTAAGATTAGTGTTACACTTACCCCTAAGGATTAAACAATGACAACACTGTCATTGTAGGGTAGGGAGTTCCTATGTTTGTGTGGACGCTGCTATCACTTTGCACTTTACTATTAGTCTAAGCGCCTTTAAGCATAGAGCACTTTTTTGTGGTTTTTTTTTGGTATTTAGAATAAAACAAGACAGCCTACCCTAGAAATGCAGCATTCTGGGCTCCAAAGTAAGAAACCAGACCCAAAATTGGTTATAAACCTGCAGCCCAGATATGCTATAACAGCACGAAGTTAAGGTGAAAAAAAATTAGAAACATCCTACAATGAGAAGCTTATAGCAAGAGAGACATTGGGGCAAAATCCCTACAGATCATTACACCCTCCCTAGTGCCCTGGTACCTTGCCTCTTTCAGTGGCTATGTGCTTACTAACAATATCTGTAGTGTAAGGAAGATAGCTAAATCAAGATATACAGCCCTATGAAATAGCTAAAGCCAGGAAAAGTATTACAGATAGAAGGGTCCTTACTGATATATCACCCCTCACCCCTAGCTTTATACAGCAAGCTCTCTCCTCTTTGTTGTACCCAGGGCCCTCGGGCAGTGAGTGATCAAGGGCTCCCCTCCTGGTCCTGGTCCTGGTACAAGGTTTTTTGGCCCCCCACTATTCTTCTCCCCCTTCTTTCTGCTGCATTCACACATGTATTATGTGTAGGCTGCCCAGCACACAGAATGGAGAACCACACAGCCCTGACTCCCACACCCGTGGAGCCCCAAAAAATGGCCAGATTTTAATAAACACTGTTTTTATATGGAGTAACCCTTGCTGGCATGCCTCCCAGCAATTAAAATAAAGAAATAAAGCAAATTTAATTACACACTTCCACTGATTTTGCTGCGGACATCACAAGCAGCGTCCCCACATGTGCAGCTATCCAAATAGCCACATGTGTTTGGAGTCTACTTGTGGGGTTGTGTGTGGGGGGATGCTGCTAGTTATATTGTGTGCCTGTATGTCAAAGTGTTGTGTTGTATTAAGCATTTCTCTTGTTTTACCTATTGTACAGCGCTGCAGAATATGTAAGTGATTGTAATAATTGTGTGTTTGGAAGCTGTGTGCAGTATTGCAATGGTGGGTATGCTGTTTGATATGTATGTGTAGGGAGACTGCATGTGGTTTTGTATGTGTGGGGATGCTGCTTGTGGGATTGTGTCTACACAGTGAGGCTCCTTGTGGGTTTTTGCGTGTGTTAATGGGGCTATTTGTAGTGCAGTATGTGAGTGGACAGGGCTGGTTGTGTTGCAGTGTGTGTGGAATAGAATCTGTAGTAGGCATCTGGTGGTTACTGGGGCTGTAGTATGTGCGTGTTTGGATAATAGAGGCTCGACTATGTATAAGTAGGATAGTGGCTGTAGTGTGTGGATGGGGAGATAGAGGCTGAAGTAGGTGTGGGGAGGCACGGGGACTGAGGTGAGCGCAGGGAGACATGGGAACTGAGGTGGGCGTGGGGGCTGAGGTGGGTGCGGGGCTGGACAGAGTATGAGGTGGGACATAGAGGATGTGGTGAACGCAGGAGGGGACATAAGGGCTGTGGTGGGTACTGAAAGGGATAGGGGCTCTGGTAGTTGGAGGTGGCATAAGGGCTGTGGTGGGAGCATGGGAGCTTGTGTGGGAACAGGGATATGTAGATCCTGGGGTGAGTGTTGGAAAATTGGTGGCTGAGCTAAATGCAAGGGGAACTGAGGTGGGTTCAGGGGTGAATGAGGTGGGTGCAGGGGGAGCTGTGGTGAGTACAGGGGGGCTGAGGTTGGTGCAGAGAGACAGGAGGCTAAGGTGGGTAAAGGGGGGCTGAGGTGGGTGCAGGGAGAGCTGTGGTGTTTGTAGGAGGAGCTGAGGTGAATGCGGGTAGATAAGGGGCTGTGGCAGGCACAGGGAGGGACATAGGGGCTGTGGTGGGTACTGGAAGGCATAGGAGCTATGGTAGGTGGAGTTGGCATAGGGGCTGTGGTGGGTGCATAGGGGCTTAGGTGGGTACAAGGATAGGTAGATCCCGGGGTGAGTGTAGGGAGGAATGATGGCTGAGGTGAGTTCAGGGGAATTGAGGTAAGTGCAGGGGGTGCTGTGGTGAGTACAGGGGGGCTGAGGTGGATGCAAGGGGAGATGTCGTGTGTGGAGGAGGAGCTGAGGTGGGTACAGAGAGGTGTTGAGGTGGGTATTGAGAGGGGGCTGATGTGGGTACAGAGTGCTGAGGTTGAAGCTGAAGTGAGCACTGGGGGCTGAGGTGGGTTCAAGGGGTGCTGAGGTTGGAACAGAGTGGGCTGATGTGGGTACAAGGGGTGCTGAGATGGATAAAAGGGGGCTGCAGTGAGTACAGGGGGCCTGTGGTGGGAGCAGAGGGGCTGAGGTGGGTATAAGGGGTGCTGAGATGGATAAAGGGGGGCTGAGGTGGGTACAGGGGGCTGAGGTGGGTACAGGGGCTGAGATGGGAGCAGAGGGACTGAAGTGGGTACAAGGGGGCTGAGGTGGGAGCAGAGGGACTGATGTGGGTACAGGGGTGCTGAGATGGATAAAGGGGCTGAGGTGGGTACATGGGGACTGAAGTTGGTACAGGGGAGGCTGAGGTGGGTACAGGGGGGCTGAGGTGGGTACAAGGGAGGCTTAGGCAGGTACAAGGGGGGCTGAGGTGGGTACAAGGGGTGCGGAGATGATTAAAAGGGGTTTAGGTGGGTACAGGGGCTGATGTGGGAGCAGAGGGGCTGATGTGGGTACAAGGGTGCTGAGATGGATAAAGTGGGGGCTGAAGTGGGTACAGGGGGTTGAGGTGGGTACAGGGGGGCTGAGATGGGTACAGGGGGGCTGAGCTGGAAGAAGAGGGGGCTGATGTGGGTACAAGGGGTGCTGAGATGGATAAAGGAGGCTTAGGTGGGTACATGGGGGCTGAGGTGGGAGCAGAGGGGGCTGATGTGGGTACAAGGGGTGCGGAAATGGATAAATGTGGGCTGAGGTGGGTACAGGGGAGGCGGATGTAGGTACAAGGGTTGCTGGATGGATAAAGGGGGACTGAGGTGGGTACAGGGGGGCTGAGGTGGGTCCATGAGGGCTGAGGTGGGAGCAGAGGGGGATGATGTTGGTACAAGGGGTGCTGAGATGGATAAAGGGGGGCTGAGGAGGGTCCTGGTGGACTGAGGTGGGTACAGAGGGAGATGTGGTGGGTGCAGGGAGACAAGGGGTGCTAAGGTGAGGATGTAAAAAACAAAAAATCTATAAGGAACTTACCTGTGCTGTCTGCCAGGCAGTGGGTTAATCTACATAGTGATATGTTGCAGGGGCCCTGCAACATATCACTGTGATATGGGAGAAATCATGTTTTTCTGGCTGAGGAGATCTCAGATTTCCTCAGCCAGAGCATGGCTGTGCTGCCGGGACCCTGACTGCCTAGGGCCCTTGGTCCATTACCGATCTGCCCGACCTGTCAGTCTGCCCCGGTTGTATCCCCTACTCCCTTTTGTAGTGGAATCATTCGTGAATTAGGACATTGTGAGCTGATCTGTTACACTTTTGTTCATGCTCCAACTTTAGGTATTTATTACCCTGTATTTACCCCCAATTAGTTACATTATATATACACTTCAGCACAGTTGCGTCAGAATATTTGATGTTTGTCCTATTTTTATTGTTATAACAGAATATAGTTTTTTTTATATATATATATATATATATATATTTTGCCAATCATCCTACCTCTCATAGACACACACAGTACACCCCCTACAAACACACTGCATCCTCTACACAATTACACTCTATTCCCTAAACACACACCACATCCCCTAAAAAGGCACTATAGTCCCTATACACACACACACTGGCTACATCCCTGAAGTTTACTGTAATTATGTTTACTTGCTGTTTTATTAAACTTTTCTTGTAAAAATATGTGAGTGCATCTTACATTCCGGATTTAGTTTTATTCTTTACATGCTGCTGTGTTACAAGGTGCTTCATTGGCTCATGGGGTGGCCCTGACTGCAGCTTTAAGTTACTAAAATGTCTACTATCAAGAGACTATTATTTGTGAGTACTATCACATTGACTTATTTCTTGTTTGTTCAAAAAAATCCATTTATCTTTTTATATTGTAAATTGGTGCAGCCCTGTTTTATCTTTTTATTTCTGTATATTCTCCAAAGCAGGGCTTCCCAAACTTTAACAGGCCGAGACCCACTTTTGAAAACGATAATTTTTCGAGACCCACTCACTTTTAATGCATATTTTCAAAATTAATAAACTTGGAGCTGAGGGTGATAGTGTGTGTGGGGTAGGTGAGGGTGACAGAGTGGGGAAAGTGAAGAAGGTGAGGGTGGCAGTGTGAAGAGGAAAAGAGGGTGACAGTGAAGGGAGGAGGTGAAGATGACAGTGGAGGAGGAGATGAGGATGTCAGTGGGGGAGGAAGTGAGGATAACAGTGTGGGGAAGTGAGGGTGACAGTGTGAGGGAAGTGAGGCTGATGGTGTGGGGGAGGTGAGGGTGATGGTGTGGGAGAGGTGAGGGTGACTGTTTGGGAGGGAGGTGAGAGTGACTGTTTTGGAGGGAGGTGGAGGGTGACTGTTTGGGGGGAGGGTGACTTGTTGTGGGGATGGTCACAGTGTGGGGGGGATGTGAGAGTGACAGTGTGGGGGAAGTGAGGGTGATGGTGTGGGGAAGTGATGGTGATGGTGTGGGGGAGGTGAGGGGTGACGGTGGGGAGGGGTGAGGGTGACTGTTTGGGAGGGAGGTGAGGGTGACTGTTTGGGGAGGGTGACTATTTGGGGGGGAGGATGACTAGTTGGGGGATGGTGACAGTGTGGGAGGGAGGTGAGGGTGACAGTGTGGGGAGGTGGGGGTGACAGTGTGAGGGGGAGGTGAGGGTGATAGTGTGGAAGAGAGGTGAGGGTGAAAGTGTGGGGGAGGTGAGGGTGACAGTGTAGGGGGGAGGTGAGGGTGACAGTGTAGGGGAAGAGAGGGTGACAGTGAAGGGAGGAGGTGAGGGTGACGGTGTGGGAAAAGTGAGGGTGACGTGTGGGAGGGATGTGAGGGTGACGGTGTGGGAGGTGAGGGTGACGGTGTGGGGGAGGGTGACTGTGTGGGGGGGAGGTGAGGGTGACAGCATGTAGGAGGTTAGGGTGAATGCCATTAAAATAGGTTCCTGGTGGTCCTGTGTTCTCTTCTTCCTTCCTCCCTGGTGGTCTGGTGATGCTTGCTGTCTGGTCTGCAGCTCCGCTGACTGCAGACCATGAGGACATAGTCTCACGAACTCAGGCACGTGAAATCTCAGAGCGTTAAAGCGGTAACACACTGTGATGCTCTGTGATTGGCCGAGCTCACTGACAATTACTGCATGGTTTGCAGCGCGACCCACCAAAATCCATTTAACAGTCACAAGTATGAAATTATCAGGAATTCAAACTGAATATTACCATTTACACCAAAAAAAAAAAATATATTAGATTGAAAAAATAGCTAACGCAGAAATTTAGATACTTTGGCCTGAGACACATTCTTGGGTAATTTAACAATAAATGAGACAATTACACAATGTTATAGGAGCAATGTCCTTATCAGCCTATTGTTCCTGTAACATTTTGTAATTACCATATTATAAAAAGGGGAAATTTAACAATAAATTAGACAAAGAGCTGCAGAGTAAGTTAGCGCTACATAAATACCGATAATAATAAAATAAGAAGAATAAATATAATTCGTTTTGAACATCTGATCTTTTACCAACAGTGTTTCTGTGATGTCCCAATCTTCCCTGGTTTTTAGACAACTTTTTGCAGCCTGTATCTTTGTGTTTCATAATATTTCTTCACTGACTTTTCATCAGCCTGCAATACCAACGGTGCAGCCTTTAGGGGCTGCTGCTACTAAGCAAATATCTCATTTATCTGTTCCATGGAAATCCATGTACGAACTGACATTCTAACCTACAAGCTAACTGAGAACTTTCACCACTTAAAAAAAAAATCATTTTTGTGAGTGCAATAGAAATGAAGGGGAGGAGTTATCCAACCAGTATGCAGTGCTAAAAGGCTAAAGGAGAGGCTGAGAAGCACATCTCTTTAGTTAATGGTTTTCAACAGTCGGGTAGCATCAATCAGAACAGATTCAACATGTGGGCAACTAAACTTCTATTGGTGACTCTGCTGATCATAGTTGTAGGTAAGTTCACTTGGCTTCATATATCTATTCATTGCTGCCTAATATCATTCCTGGATCGTAGATCTGATGAGCAATGGGTTAATAGCCTCAGGATGATACTGAGAATGTCAACATTCAAGAATGGTTTGTTACATTTGCCGAGATTGGATTCATTGATATGTGATGCTATTCATACTATGCCGCTTTGATGTAATGACTGCTATGTGAAGTGATACACCCATTTGTAAATGTCATTAAATCTGACTGATTTGATCATTTTACAGAGAACAGAAGATTTTTACTTTTTCTAATGTCGATATGTTTAGATTTGTTTTGGGGTTTTTTTTTTAACAATAAAATAATTACATTATTTTTAAAATAGAAATAATGTAAAACTTCTGGAGCATGTAGGAGGTTAGGGTGAATGCCATTAAAATACTGAATGCCATTATAATATTTTAGAGATTCATTGTTAAAATGGTAAATATGTGAAGCTAAAATTGTGTGTCACAAACTCTTGTTTGTGGTAGATTATCTGTACGCGTGTAACTCATTTTAAATGTAAAACCACGCACTAAGAGCAATGTATGAATAGTAATACATTAGAAAATGTATTCTTTGAAGATGTGTTAAGGGGGGGGCGAAGCAAAAATGCAATCTTACTGCAAAAGCATTTGATCAATCAAAATCTCTTACTGCAGACTTTTCCTTTGAGGTAAACTCAGAGATCAATGTATTTGTGACTTGCAATAAATAGGGCTTCTTACTAATTAGAGCATTAGATTTCAGAACTCATTTGATTTGATAAAAAATATCAGTTTGCAAGTGGCTGTTGAATTTGTTGCAGTGACGATTTCTCCTGTAAACCCCTAAACTAACTCTTGTGTTAAGTGAGATGCATGTTTGAAATACCTATCTTGAGGCTATTCTCACTGAGTG